TCTCGCCCCCGCCCCCACCCTCTTCCGCTTCGTCTTTGCCTCGAAATGTGGCATTCAACAGGGCTTCCACGCTGCTTGCGGTGGTGCGGAATCCGCGCCGGTTTGCCGCTACGCGCGCGGCCGGGGGCGGCGGGCGCATCGGGGAAATGATGCGCAGATTGGCCGGATCATCTCAAAAACCACCAGCCCTCCCGCCTCCGAGTCCTCCTCTGCCCCCCTTTCGTCCCCGTCGCTCTCGTTTATCCTCTGCCTCCCTCGTGCGCGCTTCCGCAGGCAGCGCTCCCCGTTACTCTCGCACCCTCGTCGCCGACGGTCGCCAAGGGGTGGAATACAGCCCCCACCGCCGTTATCCCGCCGTCACCGCTGCCACCGCCGCCGTCGCCGCCGCCACCGCACCCCCGTCGCCGAACAACCATCCCGACTGCCACGCAGCCGTCGACGACGAGTGACTGAGTCCTCCGATTATTATCTCATTTGCCGCCACGGCCAGCAGCACGCGTCGACACCGCCGCGCGGCGCACTCCCGCGACTGGGATCCATAGATCATCACCCCCGGGGTCCACCGTCGTTCACGAAGCGGCGCCAACTTTGAGGAGCCCCGTCGCGTGTGCAGGTGAGTGCAATTCTTGAGGAAACAACGCGGGCACGCTCTTTCGTCGCGTGCCGTATCACCGGTGACACGCGAGGTGATTTCGCAAACGCGCGGAAAAGTTTGCCGCGAAACGGATTCCACGCGCGATCCGCGAGTATCATCGGTGTTTCGATATCTTTTTTTTTTCTCTTTTGAGATTTTGTTTTTTTAATATTCGGAATGACTGGAAGTGGTTTACGGTTTATTCTTCGTCGCGAAAACTGTTATGTCGATTGATTGTTTCGGGACCAGAAAGTTGTTTCTCGGCGCGATTTGCAAATTGGAATTTACGGTAAAATATTTTATTTGTGTGACATTTTAATTTTTTAATTTAATTAAATAAATCTGGACTGGCATCAGTTGCAAACTGAGACGGTATTCCTCTCCTGCTCGACAAAGCGATGCAACTCTCTGTTGCACCTGCTACGGACTGTACGCATCGTCTAACGATACCGCGGTTGCACCGCTTAACTGACCATTTAACGTACTCACCGTTAAACATCTGTTATGCACGGCGCATCTGCATGATAATCAAAACGATCAATTTTATTCTGTTTTCTTTGTACAAGAGTGTTGCGCGATTAACAGTCACGATGGCCGCAATGATTTTTATCACGTGTCAATGATCGCGCTTGTTTGTCGGCATTACATCGATAATAGGTGATTACTATCCTTTTTCAAACTTTTTTCTATATTCTCACAGCTCTCAGTATGTAAAAAAATTTATTTTTTATGCAATAATATTTAAGTGTGATATTTTTATTAAGTTAATGTCTCCTCGAGAGTGAAATTCAATTCTTATAATATTCATTTCTTTCCTATTGCATTTATTATGCTGAACAACTATTCTGTGGAATTTTTCCCTGCAGTTTACGATTTTGATTGATTTAAGAGCGCTGAATAAATAATGGCTGAATAATGATAATAAAATATCAGAGTGCAAAGTCTGTCCGAAGTGGCGGAGGACCGTGCAGTGTCAGACCGTAATTATTTCCCGGGGGACGCAGCCTCCCCAGGACTCCTTCGCGGTCCTTCGCCGAACGCATTCCTTCGCGTGGCACGGAGAGGATGAACGTTTGAATTACGCAAAGAGTTCAACCGTAAAAAAGCTTGGATTCTGCTGTGACCAACGGTTTTTTTTCTCCCTATATAGAGCGAGAGCATTTTGCCGCGAGAGCGCCCCGCAATAAAAATATTTATGTGGACGGTAAAAGAAGCGCGCGCGTCTCTCCTCGAGGAGGAGTTAAGGGAGCGAACTGTACCGTGCAAGAATAATCGGAACAGAGATACGAGAATTTAATGTTGTTCAGATTTTATTGAACGTTGTAATTACTTGTGTTGCGCTCCTTTTAAGAATGATGCGTGCAAAATTCAGTTTTAATTCATCGCGAATTTTAATGAGAGTCCCACGTAAACTGTTAAATCAATTCTTGAACGAGATTATCAGGAAGAGAAAATCATTGCCTCGATGACGTTTCGGTTTATCTTTTCATGCAAGACTTGCATTACACAATATTGTTCTTAATTCGAATTCGCAAACAAAAGAATTCTCGAGCGGGTTGACATGCTCGGACCGCGGTAGGATGCAGATGTAGGATGTACCTGTTCGCCGAATATTTCCGGAGTACTTTCAGAAATAACATTTACACAAGCTAACTATAGAAAAATATGTAAAAATGGTTGGCGACCGAAAACATCGGGAATAGCTGCCTTGGGGCGGAAGAAACGGCACGTCCGCGACATCCAACAATGCGAAATAAAACAGATGGCTGCAAATTGGATGATAGCAATTGTGTCAAAATATTTCTTTTACGACGTACAATTTTTATGGGAAATACCGTATGCCGGCGACAAGAAAAATACCGTTGCCGCTAGCGATCTCCGAAATGGAAATGTTGGCCAAAAGGTTTTACACAATGGAACTGTGTAAAAGGTGTTTCGGAGAAAGAATCCAATAAAATATAAATAGAATATGATAAACAAGCTGCAAAGTCCTGTAAATAAAATACATTAATGAATACATTAACATTAATAATATAGAAAAAGAGCGGCGACGCATTGTCAACTTGAATAAAAATCAATGAATGAGAGGAGCGGTTCATTATTTGATACGCTGCGCATCTCGCGATGGAGATAGCGATGATAAAGTGAATGCCGAAAGGAGGTTACAGAGATAGGAAGAAGAGACAAATAGAGAGAGAGAGACACAGAGCGAGAGAGAGAAAGTAAGATACTGGAGGATCAGAGTTTAAGAGAGCAACGGGATGACGGTGGCGGCGGCGGCGGCGGCGGCGGCGGCGGCAGCGGCGAAGGGAACGGGGCCGGGAACGGGGGTGGCACAGGCCGAGGGAGGTAGAGGGTAGGAGGCGAGCGCGAATGCAAATATTCGCAGCGACAGAGATTGAAACAATCCGCCAATTAGAATCGTCGACGCGAACGGGATTATGCAGATTCGCACCGCCCGCCCGGTGGCGGACGGGACTGGCAGCTGCCGCTGCCGCGCGAGAGCGAGCTTAATTCAATCCGCCGAGTTGTCTTATGAATCGTAAACCGGCCTTCCCTCGCGCGCCGCGTGAAACTGAGATCGTCGTCTCTCGCACGGAGACGGGAAAACGAGGACGAGGGCGAGAACGACGATGGAGACGACGCGAGCGACGGCGTCGGTGCGGATCCGCCGCCGCCGCCGCCGCGCGCTCCATTCGCGCTCGCACTCGCCTCAAGCGGAATAATAATATAACGCCGGCCCGTAAAGCTCTCTTTACGGTCTTTAGAATAGCCGCCGAGCCGAGGTATCATTGTCTCTCTGAACGAGTTTCAGCGCGGAAAAAAAATCACCGACTCCTCCTCCCCCCGGCAGAACTTCCTCTCGCGGTAACTGCGCTTCTCTGGTGAACGCTTCTCTGTGATCGTCGGTCTTCCGGAAACGTCGTGAAAGCGGCGATTATATTTTTCTCTGGAAAAAAAAGAGTCGGGCGTATTCAGCGAAATTTAATAATCAATTTTCATTAATTCGATCTTTCATAATCACTTTCCTTCGTTCTTCGTAACAGGGACACGAAAACTTTTTCAATGACCGCGCGAGAAGACGCGCGCGGTCTTGTCGCCGCAAACTGCAACTTTGACGTGCACCGCGCGATACGGATGGATGGAATTATGGCCGCGGCGAGCGCCGGCGACGGGCGCGTATTTATCACGAAGAGTAAAACTGACAGCAGTCCATTTCCCGTTCGTCCTGCCTGTCTGGCTGAACATAATATCTCCTGACGAAACAACGTGGACGCCGTTTGTTTGGGAAACAATGGACCGAAACAATGCCCGATCCCTCTCCCGCTCTTTCTCTCTCTCTCCCTCCCTCCGTGAGTGAGCGGACGAGCGGATACAGACCTCTCTGCTTTCCACGCCCCGTTGCTCTTCGGTCTTTCTGCCGCGTCGAGATCCTTTCAGGGACCTCCGTTTTCTTCCGCGAAGAAAAATTTCTTCCACGAGTTTCCACGATCGTCGCGTCGCGATCCGAATCGTCATCGATTAAGACTGCAAAAAGTGAAAAGTCAAAGTGCTCGAAACTGTCGTTTTTCCTAATTTATCTTTTCTATTTGCAGACTTTATGTTAAAAGACTGATAAAAATTGTGACAAAATAACATATACGTATCGTACGATAGAGTAACGCAACGGTAAAACAATTTTTGATTAACAGATATTTGCAGCGTGAATTTCGCGAATTTGCAGAGAGATTTTTCCGACGCCAGCATTAATTAGAATGTCTGCATCGAATCCGCGCGAGAAATTCTCTCGATAACTTCGTGAGGAATTCTCGCATTACGGGCGAAACCGAACGTGTACTTGACAGAAATTAGTATTCCTTAATGGATGACGTGATACCGGGCTGGTTCATCCCGTCCCACCGTAAACGCCGCCTTCCTTGGTCTTAGACTTAAGGCTTGGGAACCATTCAATTAATTTCAGGAGACAATAGTAGCTCACTTCCACATCGGCGAGCCGCGCTTGTACGCGCCTCGTACACAGTCATTACATCGTCAAGCCCGTGCTGTTCCGTCGTGCACAGGATATCCCGAGGTATCACTTAGAAAAACGAGATACGCGAATCCATCTCCAGGCGTTTTAATCAGAATTAAAATCCTCCCTGCTAGTTTCCTCCCCCCCCCCCGCCGATGCGTTAGAATGAAATATCCTTTCGGCTCGTAAGGCTGAAAATAAAAATCTATTCAATAAGTGCCGAATCTGTTAAGATAAATAAAGACTAAAAAATTAACTTGGTAAAATATAAAACTTGGTAAAATAAAACCAGAAAATTAGTAATGATTAAAGGTAATGCAATATTTTATTTGTTTTTTTTTTTCTACCGATCAGTCGACGAAATGACAACGACCACGGGCGATCCGTCGACCCTGAAGACCCCGGCTTCTCTGTCGGGCGGAGATCTCGTTTCCCGCTTGTTGGCGGCCACTCCTCCGTACCTGTACAACGTGCCGCTGACGCCGCACAGCTTCTTCTTCAGTGAAATGCTGCGATCCTTCGTGCAAGCCAAGGCGGAAGCGTCGTCGGCCGCGGGTAGCGGCGGCAGCGGCGGCGGCGGCGGCGGCGGCGGCGGCGGCGGGACACCGAACGCGCCGCGACGTCGAAAGCGATCCTGGCGCGACGCTCGGGACCGGCCTCTGGAACTCACGACGAAGGAACGGCCGCATCATCATCACCACCATCATCACCATCACCATCCGGACAAGTACTACCACACCGCCGCAGCGCAGCAACCGCCTCAAGTGCCGCCGGAGACGCGTCTGGAGAACGACGGCAAGCGACCCGACGTCTACTCCGACGCGGAGACTAAAGCCACCGCGTTCGATCAGAAACCTACGTTCGGCGCCGACATCCTGAAGCCGATCGACGAGAACAAGACGGAGTATCCGCGGCAGCACGGCAAGAACTACTTCGACGAGCGGCCGCGGCACTTTGAGCAGGCCCAGCCGCCGGAGAACGTCTTCCCCGGCGGCGAGGCGCGCAAAGTCAAGCCGGAGGAGTCGCAGCAGCTGGAGCGCACCAGGAATTGTACTTTCGACAGCGGCAGGGTCTACGACGACCGCTCGAAGAGCATCGTGGCCGGCCAGGAGGCGCCGCCGTTACAGCTGCCGGACCAGAAGAAGCTGGACTTCGCGCGGGGACCCTTTCTGCCGGGCCTGCCGGGCCGAGGCTGCGACGGTGTTCTTCAGGGCGTGAAAGGCTTCACGCTGCCCAACGGTATAACCGGCCCGGCGGATTTTCTACCCGGACCGTTGTGGTACCCGCCGTACCCGATGCCGCAGTCCTATCCCGGCATCGATCCCCTGCATTTTTTCATCGATCTGCGCGTCTCCGGCCACATCTGGGACCGCAAGCACGCGAACGAGCGTCAGCTACCCTTCAAGAGCAAGCACTGCTCGGCCTTCAGTGTGCCGCAATCCAAGGAATACGGCAACCGGCCGTTGAATCTCACCCGCGACGAAGCCGCGACGTCGAAGAGCACGGACGCGGAGAACACGCGGGGCACCAACTACATACTGAAGCACCTGACGAAAACGTATCAGGATATACAGCAAACGAAGCTCTCTAGGATGGACTCGTCGTCGGAGAACGAGGAAAGTTTAAAGGAGGCGCATCAAGGTAAGAAATGCTGTCTCATTTGTATTCTCGCTGTCTTTTTCCCTTGAATTTATTTCTGTTTACTTGCTATTCTTTTCTGTGTACTTTTCAAATCAAAATCTATTGCTGAAACTAAAAATCGAAATTGGACAATTTTGCTTAATGCTGGCAATTTGTCTTGAAACATTTTTCGAATGGTGATAGAAACATAGTTATCGCTGCGTTTATTTTTCTGTGTGCTTTTCGGAATCGGAGTTAGGCGATTTTGTTGAATACCAGCAATTTGTCTAAAAAGTTTTGAGAATATTAATAAAAATATAATTATCGCGGTATGTTTTTTATATAATTTTAAATATCTACACTAGTGAAAAATTGTGTAAGAAGAATTAAGATCAGCTAGCATCGCCGAGTCTTGAATTCAAAGCGTAATTATTGCCTTGAAGGCATTGAGTTTATATTATTATAATTTTGAAAATTCGCTTTTTTTATTTTGATTTCTTTAATATCTTGAGAGAAATGCAAAACAGTGGCTTCGCTATTTTAACGAACGAAAGAGACGTATGTATCCCCGCATACGATAAAACATTCGCAATTTCGCGATGTTTTTCAAGCTGGCGAGGATATCGCGAAGGTAGAAGACGCCGGCGGTACGGCGACGAATTCTGAAGAGGAAAGGAAAGACCTGCGGGCTCTGATCGGCCTCGAATTAGTGGTGGACTACGTGAAGGAGCCGAAGGGCGACCCGCCGGCCGAGCAAACGTCGCAAGTAGCGGAATAATAACTTATTTGTAACGAACGCGACTCCGCGCCGGACGGTCTTTAATCATTTTAATCGCTAAAATAGTCGTAGCGTCGTTATTCGCATTCTCCCGTATAACACCTCCAAAATTGCACTTCGCGATCGCATTCTTCGCCATAATATAGCACCTCCGACAAAGCAGGAGTCACCTAATTGCACGAGACCGGATCTTCTTTTTCTACAATGTGCGATATGTCTTCGTTCGAGGATATCGAGAATATTCGTTGCTTATTCGATATTATTTTTGCAGAAATATGTATTTCTCACCGGTGTAAAAGACTTCCGTATTGCACACAAAGATTTCTCGGATATTTATAAAATTTTATCGTGTTTTTTTTTTTTACAATTTTAAATGCACTTCCAGAATAGTATTGTCTTCACTAACTTAATTCTTCTGTACAGCAATCAGACAGTTACGAATAATTTTCTTAGTGAAAATTGAAAGGTCGTGAAAAGACCTCATCGGAGTGGAACGGCTCCGATCCGAATTCAATATGTGATATGCACTGTAAATATTATAATAACATTCCGATGTATCTATATGTATCGATAGAAGTACCCATTGTTGTAAATTGAATGTAATAAAAGCGATTTAACTGTATGACATCTCGCTCGATCTTTACCAGCTCGCTTCTTCGCGAATCAAGCGGAAAGAACCTCATTAATTTTAACGCGCGAATCTCACGACGAGCTGTCGTGATTAGCTATTACGCGAAGCTCCAAGATCACTTCGCCCTTGTTGTTCAGCTTCATCAATTTCCGGCCTCCTTGCGGAACGAGAACGACGTCGTCGAAGCTGCTTCTTCTGGCAGCCGGCTCGGCTAATCTGTAGTACGCGAATGGTCGATCCGCGTCCCTGCTTAACTCGAGATACGGCTTTTCCGGTGCAACGACAGTGTATACCTAACGGAGCGCAAACAGGCATTGTCAAATTTACCCGCAATGCTCGAGTACAATGAATACCGTGCATAAATGGATTCGCTTAATAGAATCCAAATTCCGTTTGTAAAAAGAAAATGTAAAGAATAGGAGGAATCTTTACGTTTCTTTCGTGGAGAATCTCCGATTGATAATCGCTCACTGACCTTCTTAGTCGGAGATACGAAGTTGTCGGCGGGATCCCCGGCGGAGAAGGCCAGATTGAGATCGCGAGAGGCCTGCTGCTCCGCGATCGGATAGATCGCGTCGTTGCTTCGCGCGCCGTCGAAATTCTCCAGGTAATAAACCCTGCCGTCGGCGCAGCCCGCGATGGAGACGGCGATCACAAAGAGAATAGCGTTCTCCATGGCCTTCGGCTCGCAGATCCGACGCACGGACAGTCCGCGAAGATAATGGAGCGAAAGTTTTCAGCGCCACGGCAGATGCACGGACTCGTTAATCCGCGGTAAGACGATTACAGGTCGGCGCGTGTGGGATCAATTAATTAAACGCGTATGGCAAAGGGAATGACGTTCTTGCGTGGGTGGGATTAAAATGGTCCCGTTCGCACAAATACCGCCGATGACGTATCTCCGATGTCGAATCTCTATCCCGCTCATAAATAATTCCGCACGGGAAGAATCGGTTTGGAGAATGCGCTAATTACGAGCGCCGTCGTTTGCAGCGTGAAGCATTAAGAAGAAACGTAATACGTCAACAGGTGATAGCGCCGATTGTGAGTAAGAAGCTAAAAATAATTCGCGAAATACATTGACGTCGGAAGCAGAGGACCTTTCGAGATTTACTCAAGCTTCGAAAAACGTTTATGCGTTCCTCTTGGAACATCCCGTACGCTCGATCGCACACATCCGCGCAAAGCGGGCTGTTTTCCGTTCCTTAAAGGGTCGAGGGCCGACGAGAGACGCACACACGCGTTATTGGGGCGCGACGAGAGATTAAAAACGACTTTTTTTTTCCCCGAAAGGATCGCTTCCATTGCGACCGGGGTGGTTGCATCGCCGGCCCGGGGTCTTGAATAATGCATGAAATTTGTTCCCCGGAATCGAATCGCGCCTCGTCACCGGCGCGGCGGCACGACGACAAGAGAGCGGGCATAAATCTAAATAATTTCAACCCTCGAATTTTTATTATTCCTATCACTACGATAGGCGCACACGCGCACACACGCACACATACACACACACGCATCCCACTCTTGCGGCCCGCGCGTTGAATATGCATGCACCGCGCTTTCCACACTTCACCAGGAGTGTCGGACCTTTGTGCAACTACCCCGTCGCGGCCTATGCACATTGCGCTTCTTGCATTGACCTGCACCGCCGATCCGTGCACAGCCCTCGTACTCGTTAGCATTACCGTTACATCGTACAGACGTTCCACAAGAGCGTGATACGACGAGGGGTTTATCAATTTCGATTGTATGAAATTTTTCACGCGGATTTAAAGCGTGTATCTCAATTTTAATTCTGCAACTGATAGTTTCTGGATGAGAAAAAAAAACATATCAAGTGTATGTTTTTTTTTAAACACTGCGCACACTGATAAATGCGTCACGCAATACCGCTCAAGAATTTATGACAGATAAAATACTTTAGATTAGATATATAGCTTCGAATTTTTCCCACGATTTATCAACAACGTGCGATTAGATTCTTCCAGTTTGATACCGGCACGAGAGCATAGCGCGCCGGTATACCTTCGTCTTAAGAAAAATCTAATATCTGAATTTTCCGAGAAGTTAGTCATTACTCACCCGACGGATCGCGATAAATCACAGAAGGAATTAACGAGCGGCGAAGATGACACTGGGTCTCTCCCCCCCTCGTCCCGTCCTTTTCCTTCTTCGCCGTTTCCAGCCCCGCCGGGGGTGAAATATAGCCGGCAACTTTTCTCATACTTGAGAGTTTTCCTTACGGCGTATGCCGCCGTACCGTATCGTACGACGGCGAGAGTAGGGGGAAGTTATGAAGTAGTCGCGGGACGAGTGCTATAACGTAACACCGCACGGAGACAAGACGAGACAACTCCCCCGCGTGACGTTGGTATCAAGAGCGATCAAGAGGACTTTCTGCAGACATTATCACCCTTCTTCGTGATTGTCTCCTTTAGAAATAATTATACGCGCGTCGTCGCTTCAAAATCTACAAAAAGAAAAATAATTAAAAATAAGCATTTCTCGTTACAATCGGCAACGTAAAATCTTTTCTAAAAGTAATTTGTGGATTCTTAAAATCAAACAGGGAATGATAGGGATCTCTAATTAGTTGAGGATATTTCAGATAATGCGAGAGAGAAATAGACGTCAGTTTTATAACTTTTATTCATTTGTAATACTGCGCGATTTCGAAATCTCAATCTATGCTTCGTCCTCTTACTATAGGATGTACACCTCGCGTAACAATATTATTTAAAATTATGGTACAGCATTTCCTACTAATTTAATGTACATGACTAATCTTTACAATAATCTACTAAGACTTTGCTCTGAACAGGTTTAACGATACATTACGACGGATGTATACAGAAACATGCTCAGTCGTTGCAATTAACAGAGATGGTGACGCATTTAACGAATAAACACGAAACGAACTAAACTGCTGTTCCGGGTGGATCGTTCAAATCAAGTCAAATCATGCCTGTGTAATGAACTAAATCGAGGGAATATATCCTAAAACATTTCTACTACTTATTATACATGTGGACAAATAGGAGAATACTCAAAACATGACCTGAATATTCAAATCCGATCGCAAATTTACGTTGAATTTACATGTGAGACTGTGTACGGTAGAAAATAGCAACTCGTACAACGCGAGCGCACGAACCCTACGAGTATTTGGCAGTTGAGGTCTAGATTAACGATGTCTGCCTTTTATTTGGTTTGCGCGGAAACTTTTTTGCAAATTTCGTCAGTGTACTCGCTACATTTTGCGCTACCACCTAAATCACCAGTCAGATACTTCGCTTCCTTGATGGTATCGTAAGCGGCATGTTCGATGATTTTTGCATGGCTAGTCAATCCCATGTGCTTTAGCATCATTACTGCGGAGAGTAGCAGCGCCGTGGGATTTGCCTTATCCTGGCCAGCAATATCTGGTGCCGTTCCGTGCACCTGTACAATGTAAATTACGTTTTTATTACACAAAGATTGATATCTAAAGTTAATGCAAAATTTATTTGGGTTAATGAACTGCCGTACCGATTCGAACAAGGCCCCGTTCAGACCTATATTTCCGCTCGGTGTGAGACCGAGTCCTCCAACGAGTCCGGCGCACATATCGGATAAGATATCACCGTACAAGTTAGGCATGACAAGCACATCGTACTGGCCTGGGTCTTGCACCATGTTTAAGCAGACTGTGTCCAAGTATCTTTCCTCGAATTTAACGGACGGGAACTTCTGCGCAGCCTCCCGACAACATCTCAGAAACAAGCCGTCCGACATCCTCATGATATTCGCTTTATGTACAGCAGTGACCTGCAAATAGATTTTAGTCAATTTACTTGGTCAAATGCTTGCCGTGACACTTTGCTGTTTGTCAGATCTGTTCAGCCGCACCTTTTTCCTACTATTGTCCGTGGCGTATTGGAAAGCAAATTCAGCTACTCTACGGGACGCCTCCTCCGTAATTAATTTAATAGACTGTACAACACCTTCTACTATTTCATGCTCTATACCCGAGTATTCGCCCTCCGTATTCTCTCTGATAGTGACGACATCAACATTGTCGTATAAAGTCTTGTAACCTTCCAAGGATCGACACGGTCGCACATTTGCGTACAAGTTGAACTCCCTGTAAATATTTACAAGCAGATAAGTAAGACGTCTATGTTACTTCAGAGAAGATAAAGTATGAAACATTCAAAGCAATTGCTTGTATTTATCAAGACATTAAGATTATGTAATCATGGTTTATTTTTAAAGTGGATTTAAACATTCTCACATATCTCGTCGAAACAAATTTAAGCTACGCTTGACTGCACAAAGATTACAACGGGCTTACTTTCTGAGTGCAAGATTGAGAGATCTGTGACCTTTCCCTATTGGAGTCATTAGGGGTCCTTTCAAACCAATTTTATTTCTATTCACGGAGTCAATGGCTGCTTGTGGTATGCCAAACTTGCCATCTGGACCCTTCACTGGTGTTACATCAACTGATTCCCATTCTATGGGTACCTGTTATTTTAGATATAGAAAAAATTATTATATATATATATATATACAAACACATTATATACAATAGTATATACAAATTACTTTAGATATAGAAAAAATTATTACAAAAATAAAAATAAAAAAAGTTTGTTGGATGAAAAAGAGATACATTGTAGTCATAATAAATATCTGGATAAGAATATCAAGTGTGGACACATGTGTCAAAAGGTGTTATGAGGTAATCATGTGTTATGCAATTCAACCTTTCTGATTATTGTAAACTGAAAAAATGTTTTTATTCGCTACAAAAATATTTTTTCCTAATTTTGTGAATTCTCAGTAGAGAAAATAAACAACAGATAATAAAATTCTTTATACATTTGAAATATGTCTCTTAATATGTTCTTTTAACATGTTGAATCTTGATAGGTCACAATATTAGAAGAACATCTCGATAAGAAGTAAACCAAATTGAATCAAATTGCAAGCACAAATATTTAACATTCAAAATCGATGTTTTAAATCCTAAGGAAACATTTGACAGAAGAAAAGTGAAATTTTAAAACTGTACAAATTTGAAAACACAAAATGATCCAAGTTAATTCTTTCTAGCTATGCAAAATCCACATTGCAGAAATTTTATTGACAATTCACTATTAGAGCTATAATGAGAAGTAATACATTGAATTAAACTATAATTGGAGCAACTTACTCCTACAAGATTAAAATTAACACTTTGAGGTTAGAACCTGTTAGGTCACCTTGTAAAGTGACAATTATTTCATAAATTAAATGCACAGCAGCAACTGTGAGGAATCAAGGAATCAGGAATCAGTTTTGTTACATTCATCAAAATATGAATATATCTTACCTTGGCAGCATCGAAGATCTTTTGTACAGCAACTGAGATTTCTGGTCCAATGCCATCTCCAGGGATAAGGGTGCATTTGTGTACTTTGCTGCTGTAAAGCCGCGCACCGGCGAGCTTCGGAGAAATCTGTTAGTATTGACATATGATATAAAATGATTGCAAGCGAGAGAATTTCAATGAGTCCATTTTTCCCGCCACCATGTGCGCGAAAATGGATCTTAACGATCGTGGAGATCATTTCAAACGGATGAACTCACACTAAATTGTACTGATTAAGAATCTCCGGTTTCTCAGCGGAGAGAACAGAATCGCCGAGGAGGGAAACGGGGAATAGTACGGAATTAGAACATAGAGCTATATCGCGAGTAGAGATACATAGATGCATAGAGAGAAAAGGAGAGAAAGAGATGATGCGAGAGAGCAGCAACGGCAAAAGCGAGACGGAGGATCGTACGTGCGATGCAATTCGCGAGGAGTTCTAACCTTGCTCGGAGCTGGAAGGACGTAGAGGCGAACAGGACGGTTGTTACACACGGTGATTCCGCGAGAATTTCGTGGACGGCGCGACTCAGCGCCTACTTACTGCTGTGCGAATCCACTGGGCTGCCATCGCTGGCGATGATTGATGCAAAAAGTTATGTGCGTCTCGTTCGCGTTGATGATTACGTTCTGTTCGCGCAGGGATTACGTTGGTTGCTCACAGTGGCAGCACATCAGATGGAGCGCGTACCGAAAACAGCTGAAAGAATCACGCAGCGATTGGTGGCGCTTGTGGTGGCGATGTCTTCTGCTGCGATGATCGGGAGCGGAAGTTAGCACGAGGCGTCGCGTAGCGGAAGTGCATTACATTTCGACATCGTAATAAGTATCGATCGATGGTAAATATTTCAAAATTTTTGCTGTATTTCGAAATTCAGTTTGCGTCCGACGCGATCGCTCGCGACTTCCTGCCTCTTGCATCGGAACGTTGTTTCCTGTTACTTCCTGGAACGGCCATTTTATACGACGCTCGGTGTATATGCGATAATACTTTTTACGACTATTTTGTACGATTTGCATTCTGAGTTTAGCGGAAACCGGTTTCTGACAATGATAAAGACGGAAGAGTAAGTAGAATATTTTGTGTGTGAGGCGGATTGATCGCATGACAGATTTCTTTATTAATCACTTGTGCAAAAGCGGAGCTAGTTACACGCATGCAACAGGATTCAAGATGTATTTCCCGACTTTAATCTCGTAATATTTTGTTTTATGATAAATAAGATATATTTCTGTATATTTTCTATTTAACACTCTGCAATATAGTGATCGTACAACTGTGTTATCGTAAATTGCAAAATATGAAAGGGTTGTTTTAACCCTTTATTCATAAAATTCTTTCTAATGATATAACAACTTGTTCTTGTCATATGGCTTATGTTTTGCAATATTATAATGTTAATTATAATTACCATATATATTATATTATTTTCTGTACACAATTGCAGTAGTCAGTCACCAAATAATGATGATAGAGACAGAAGCAGAGAGCGTGATCGTAATCGGAGATCAGATAGACCAAATCGTATGAATTCTGCCAGCCGTGATCGCAGCAGAGACAGAAATGATCGCAGAAAAGCTTGTGACAGAAGAATCTATGTATCAAATATTCCTTATGATTTTCGTTGGCAAGATCTTAAAGATCTGTTCAGAACTGAGGTTGGCAAGGTAGCTCATGTAGAGCTTTTCACAGATGAAAATGATAAACCCAGAGGATGTGGCATAGTGGAATTTGAAGACTCAGATTCAGTGAAGATAGCAGTGGAAAAGATGCATCGATATGATATCAAAGGGAGAAAGCTTGTTGTCAAAGAGGTAAACGTAAAGTTCTCTAATCACAATTTTTTTCAGTAACATCAACATATTTTACAATATTTCTCTGCTTGAAAATTTTATTTTGACTGAACTTTATTTAACATATTTTTACGCATTTTGTAGGATTTTGATGTAGAACGCGATAAGTATGGTCGTTTGACCACAGGTCGTAATAACGATAGAAATCGAGATGACAGATTCAGAGATCCTCCTAGGCCGCAGGGCGGTGGAAGACAAAATATGTCCGCACCCAGTAGTGCAGGAGGCGGTGGCGGCGGAGGCGGTGGTGGTGGCGGCGGCGGCGGCGGTGGTGGTGGCGGTGGTGGCGGTGGTGGTGGTGGCGGCGGCGGTGATAATAAGTTTGGAAATACCTACGGTCTCAGTACACAGTTCTTGGAATCTTTAGGTATCAATGGTCCTTTGGTCACGAGAGTTTTTGTTGCAAATGTTAGTATACCATGAGTACACTTTAAAGATATAACAAGTAATTATGGGTTGACAAAGTGCACGTCTTATTTATCTTTTCAGTTGGATTATAAAGTTGATGAAAAGAAGTTGCTCGAAGTTTTTAAGTTGGCTGGAAAAGTATTGCATGTTGAATTGGGAAAAGATAAGGATGGTAAATCAAGAGGTTTCGGCGTCGTGGAATATGATCATCCAGTTGAGTCGGTACAGGCTATTTCAATGCTTCACAATCAACAGTTATACGACAGACGTATGACTGTTAGACTTGACAGAGCCAATGAACCTGACATGCCACCCAAATTGCCAGAAGGTGCTTGCATATTCATCAATTTGCAAGAGTTGCGCTCAATTTATCTGTAGTGTTCTTATAAATAAATTTGCTTTGTAAATTAGGTTTAAAGGGAATCGGCATGGGACTCGGCGCTGGTGGTAACAGATTGTTAGATGTGGCCAGAAACATTCCCAATGTACAAGCAAATAATCCACCGGTGGTGAATCCAATTTCAGCGCCCGTCTTAGCCGCTGGCGCTTTTGGCGCCGGTTTAAACAACGTTGTGCCTGCGCAATTAGGTGAGTCGCGTGTCTGCACTTGTAGATAAATTAAGTTTTGTTTTAAATAACCGAGATATCGTTTGCTTGCAGCGTCAGCACTGTCGAACACTAATGCTGCGGCTCTACAAGCCAGCCTCGCCGGTGCCGGTTTGGGTGCCAATCTGACTACTAGCTCATTGCTGAATTCTTCATTGACGAACGAATTGGCGTCAAACTTGAATAACTTTGGCGGCGGCGTCGGTGGTTTAAGTAGCCTGCAGGCGTCTCTGGCCGGTGGTCAGGGAAACAATTCATTCGCGCCGCGTGGATTATCCAAATTGGACAACGACATAGGATTCGGCAGTAACAACGCCTTTGGCGGTTCTAACTTCGGCGGCAGCAGCAGAGATTTCGACGGCGGATTTAACAGAGGCGATGGCGATCGTGTTTCTGGCGGCGGTGGCGGCGGTTTCTCTGGGAATCAAGGCCAAAGTGGCGGCAGCAACCGACAGAACTCAAACGGCTCACGACCGATACCATCCGACACCATCCTCATCGGCAATGTACTTTCATTCTATTGTGTCTTTTTCTTTATTCCTGCTCGTTACTTGATATTTAACCACTGTTCTTTCGTTACAGTTACCTCCTAATACGACTTGGCAGATGCTGCGCGACAAGTTCCAGGACGCCGGAGAGGTAAAATTCGCAGAAATGCGAGGTGCCGAAATGGGCATGGTACGATTTGCATCTGAATGGGATGCTGAACGTGCTGTGAGTATCCTTTTCAAAACAATATAAAAAAAAATACTCGGCAACGCTGATCATTTTTATTTTTTGATTTTATATTGTTGAGTTATTAACCGACGTATAAAATTAAAAAAACAGTCAGCTAATCGTGATTAGGAAAAAAAGAAGGTTGTGCGTATAAATTTTCCTTAATAAATACGATTAGCGATGATGAATCGATCGCGCATCGACGGCAGAACCATCGACGTGCGCTTATATTAAGAGCCGTGAGACACCTGGGAGGGATTCAAGGTAACGTTAATAGAAAAGATCATATGGTCGAAAATGCGATGCTTAACCACTTAACTTATTGACGCAGTGTGAGGAAGCTGGGTGTTTGTGTGTCGTCTGCAGGATTGTTCTACTCCTGGTGACAATACTCGAAATTCATCCTAGAGTTGTGTGGCAGAACTTAGGACAGTGAATGAGAAGTATCTATCTTTGGAAGATCAGCAAGTCGTGTTCGTATGGTGGCTGCTCAACGTTGAAACGGTCGTGTCGACTACTGACGATCACCCTCTCCACACCCCTTCTCTCTACTCTCTCAACTTTTCAATTCTTGTATTGTTTATCACGAAATTATCGTTCCTTTTTACAGTGGAAGTCTTTACTAATTGTTCACTTCTTAAATCAGTCTTTTTTCTAGCGATAGTTTAGTTGTTTAGGCTTAGGTTTCACGACGATCTTACTGTAAGTCAGTAGGTTTCTTTTCAGTGTGTAGGTTATTTACAGCGCGTCTAGCGAATCTATAGTCTGTAAGCCTTTACTTCTTAGTTGTCATATGACGAGAGATCGATCGGTTCTCCATCGTTCCGGTCTAAAGTGACACACTGCTCATTCGCAGACTGGGTTCGCCAAGCAAGGGGTAGAACGCTAATTTTTTTGATCATGAAAACGCACTTTTAACGTTCACTATTCCGCTCAAACGGCTAAGATTCCCGGTTTGCGGCTTATCGAGACGTTTGTTTACAATCTATACAAGATCGTAAACTATGTGTTGGACTCTCATCGCTCGCTCTCACTTTATAAACAAAAATAAGGCACATCGTGGTGTTTGACAGGAGGTAGCGCTTTGTCGAGACAATTTTTGTGCGAGATTGGATCATTTTTGTTATTTATATTACTTTATTTTTGTTACTATTCAAACTATGTTGTATCGTGAACGATTTAACTATCTGAACGCAACATACGATAAATTTGTTAGAAAAATCATCTCAGTTTACTCGCTTTGAAATCTCGGCGAACAAACATCGGATAAATTTACATCTCAAATTTGGCTAAATTGTTCTGCGTTTTATGCACTGTAGTATGTTTACCAAAAAGTAAGTTGAGCTTTCTGCGGCGTCAAATGTTGTTCGTTAATCTTTCGTTTTATTCTGAGGGACGACAATTTGAATTGATTCTGGGTCAATGGACGAATTGTATTCGCAACAGCATTTCCGGGATGTTATTTTTTGGTAAACATAACTTTTTCCCCCCCCTCTCTCGCCATGTAGATCTCGAGGAACATTCTGCGCATTGTATAACACTCTTGTATTACCACAATCTCATGACAGTGATTGAATAAAACCCAAATCCATTTTGACTACGAAAAAAAAACCATGCTGCTCGTTGTGTTTTATTTCTGTGCTATTGTGTGAATTTTTATATTTTTTTTTTTTTTTTTAATAAGCGGCCGCTCTATCGTTTTGGATGTGGATCTCGTCAAGTGAGTTTAGCATGTAAATGCGACGCAGCGCGATGAGAATGTCCCATAAATGCGCTGCATTTAAGCGGACACGAGGTCACTCGTTTATTGACACGTCTTTAAAATACAGATCGCTCCCCCGATTGTCTTCCGCAACGTTGGGACGTCAATAATCTGCGCAAGAGGGGAATAAAAAAAAAAAAAATGCTCGTTCACATTGCAGGTGAGATACTTTTTCAGATGATTTTCGTCCCCCGATTTTCCGAAGGCGTTCCGAGAAGAGAGACGATGTCTGGCCCAGATTAGCAGCACGATTTATCTGTTCATCCGTTATTAATAGCGAGAATTGGAAAGCGATTGCTCACGAGTCTAATCTGTGTATGGTGTTGGTCATAAAGTGTGTTCTTCGTCTTCGATAAATTTTTTAGCGATACTTTTTTACTGCGGACGAGAATAAGAGACGTACTTTTATAGAAGGGGGTGATTAACACGGGGTGATTCTCGTCGTCTCTAACGTGGTGTGGTTTGATCCTGTGTATCAAGTTTGTAAACGATGGACGGCGAAATCTTCTCCACGCGCGTCGACGATTTGCATTTTTCATTCCGAAGTATCCGTACAAGTATCTCTTTGTGTGTCTCTGCGCCGATCTGCATCGAGATAGTTGCGCTTTTCGTAGAACTTTTAATTCGCGCGGTAAGTGCTCGTAAAACTTTGCTTCTCTCGACATTCCACGGCCGCGATAGAAAATGCGCATTTGCATTTTTTAACGACCTAGTAGATCTCAATCTCACGTCCAGCTAATAAATTCTCACATGCTCCGTGGATATGTGGTGTTTTATCCCCCTTTTTTTTCGTTATTATTGACACTAGTCAGGACTCCGAGACGCAACGAGAGTTGTCGCTACCGCATTTTTATTATTCGATGAAAATCAGTGCTCATGTCGCATTTTCGCATTAACAGCTTTCGTCGATATTCTAAGGGCCAGGAAGTGGTTACTCTTTCGCTATTGTGATCATATGTATACTCGCAGTGTATAACATTTAATATCTCGCATTGCGAAGACGAAACGCATTTTTTTTCTTTTTTTTTTCTCCTTCATGAAATAGAATAAGATAATATGTATGCAGATTATCGTTGTAAGGAATACTTTTATCGCACTAGAGCATAGATACAACACGTGGATATCATTGAATTATTTCCAGGTCATCCGATCGAGTGTCATCCGCTCCGATGTGACGACGTCAGGTAAGTTTTTAATAGCCGACGGACAGTCATCTTACGCAAATGTTGTTCTTCCAGGGAAATCTATTCACGACCGGCGTCGAGAGTTTTACGAAAATGGTGATTTGCGCAGAGTAAAGAGACCGAGTCGTACACTTTCAATCGCATCTGTATTTTTTAACTTCGTCTATCTTTTACAATATAAAATGGCCTTCGAATTGAGTGTAAAGATACTATCATCGTATGGCGATGGTGTGATTAGATGGGTGTATTCAAACGAAACGTGTGAAGCGTGTATAAAATTGCGCAATACGGGGCCTTTTCGTAAAAAAAACTAGTTTTAAATGGTGCAAATTGAAGTGCGTTCCGCGTTTGACGCACATAATTTAATACCTCTCGAAAGAAGAAAGTACTTTAAGTATCATGCCCATTTTATTTGTTGTATATACTTGTATATAATTATGTAGAGAGCGACGCGTTTCTACGGTCTATGTGTGTATGGATTATCACATTTGAAATAAAGACATGAAAGTGCAAAGATTTGTGATTTATGCGAATGAATGCGTGTCAATCCCGGCCGTTGTGTTGCATTATTGAAACATCAATGGATCGATAAAATGGATCACGGAATTCGCGTTTCGATTATGTATCAAAACAGAAGATCAACACAACGTATCGCAGTTTTCGTATTCGTTTATTTAGAATAGACACATATAAGTGTAAAATTTCACTATTTACTATTTATCAGTATCAGAAAACTTTTATTACAAATCCAAATGTTCTCTTTATTTATACAGCAAGGTAAAAAGTTATTTCTCTAAGGTTACACACTTGAATTCGACATACATTTATGTTATCTCTAAGCGCTATCAGAATCATTTCACAAAATGAAGGAAACAAAATAAAATTCAAAAAACGATCGATGAAAAAGAAGATGTTATCATACAATGTGTTTAGGATTCGTAAATATTGTTTTACGTTAGGAAAAAAAAAAACGAAGTGACCTGAATAAAATGATTGCGGGCAATAATATGGATTCTAATCGAATGACTGGTGCGATCAAATTGATTTATCTCGTCAGTACTGATCGAATACTTCCGCGTTCTCAATTTTTGTCCGTACTGTCATTCTCTCTTTGCACTATGCGAAATTAAATAGTTCGACATGAAAATAATTAGCATTTCTGTTATAATCGGACAGTGAGCGCGTCCAGCAGAACAAACCGCTTACAATTAGTAGCAATCGAACGTGATTAGTTCTTACTTTTAGAACAAATCAACGTTAAGTGTTGACGAGACGACAATTCCGCAGTTGTTCTGCTGAACGCGGCCAATATATTCGAGCTAGTTTAGTATAATGTGACAAATGGACGTGAAGAAATGTGCGGACGGACCAAGTGTTTCTTTTTTTGTATTTTAATCGATCGCACCAGAAGAACATTTATCGAAATGATTTTGGCCAAAACAGTAAAGTTTTTTTCGAGTAAACCCGACTTTGGTTTTTGAACGAGCTACATCTAGTTCAACGATGACGTCCGACAGAATCGACCGCTCAAAGACGTGCTAAACGGCGACCGAAATCAACCTATCGGAAGACAACGGATCGTCCATCACGCACATCTGATATAATCATTGTTCCAAAACCTCGTCCACTGTTGACAAAATGTCTAACATTGAATTCTGTCGTATTATACACCAAAGTATTTTTTTAATTCACAACGCCGTCTTGAACAAATCGTTGCTCGTCGACGTTATGGCTTACGCGTTTAACATGGTATGTATGTATATAATATATAATAATATGGCTTGCGCGGGGTTTATGTATAAGGGAGAGGCCTTTTTAATTAGCCGAGTTTCGTAATAATTAAAATCACAATGTTCAATATTTCCACGTTATCACGGTGTTGTAATGCCGATGAATACTCGTCCAGTTTATTCATCTTATTTCATATCATTGCGAACCAGTATCAAAAAAGCAAAGAGATCAAAATTTATCGACCAAGTCCACCTGAACTTTCTTACCTCAATTTAAAGAGAGCAATGCAAGCGAGAAATTGTTAGAAAATACAAATAAATAATTTCGCAAAAATTATTATGAAATCTTGAGTTGCAAAACAAATTATCAAGAGATCTCTTTGGGATTATTCATGTTCATAGTCATGCGAGAATAAAAAAACACTACAAGATGTCTATTTTAAACAAACCACCATAATATTTTGAAAATAATGCATTTCCGAAAAAAATTGTAAACGCTATCGCCTATAATAACTTACAATAATAAAGATTGCAAGCTTTTTAATTAAATATTTAAAATACTTTAAAAATCAATGTTTGCAGAAATCAATTGAAGATCAGTATTAGATCGTCTTCTTTCACGTCAAATCCTCCAACTTTTATCCAAGACATTTTTTTCCGGAAGCACATTATGTTTCTCCGATATTTTACTGTATTATCCAATAGGGCACCTTGTATACAAGAAGGAGAGTCTCAATACTAAAATGAATGAATAACGAATTGGGTGTTCGTCAACGCCCAATTTATCACCATTGCTCTCCCGTGGTCAATCAATTTCCTTTGTAATCAGTCGACTAAGATAAGACATTCGACAGTGTCTTACCGATGATGTCACGTTACTCACACGCGCTCGCTCACGGCCGCTCGGCATTGCTAGTGCATCTCGACGAAAGCACGAAGATGATGAGGTACTCTGCTGATCCCCTGCGTCCTTTTGACTACTCGCGCGGCCAAACATGCGAGTGTGGTGTATCTCAACGGTTGGATCGAGTCGTAAAGTTGCTTGTCGCACAACAGCATTTCGAACGTTTTACCGTCCTTGTTAACCGCGTCAAGATGCGCACCGGCATTGAGCAGATCGATCGATAGATTCGGTTGCCAAGGGCGCAGTAGGGCGGCCAAGTGAAGAGCCGTGTTTCCGTCGTTATCCTTAGCCGCCACGTCCGCGCCTACTCTCAGCAAGGCCTTGGTCAAGTGAGGTGAAGGGAATTTGCAAGTGGGATACCTGCCGACCAACGCACCGTCCTCGCTATGGATCAACTGTAGTGCATCGCGGCCCTGAAAGTACATCAAGCGGGGACACAGATATACCGATGATCTACTTTACCTTCTCTATTCTTATTGAGTAATAATTACGTCATCGCGCACCTGTTTGCCTTTCGCGTTTATTCGGATTAGCTTGTAGATTTCCTTGTGTAAAGTGATGTACTCCTCGCTATCTTTCTCCCCGGTCTCGCGCGTTAACAAGCACGCCAAATGCAAGGTGATGACGAGGACCCTGTTTAAGAAAGTTAGGTCTCGCTCGCACGCCAGATCGCCCATCTTGTCCAACAGCTGCTTTCCTTTTCCCACTTCGTTAACCTGCAAGGTTATTTTAGCTATTTACAAATGCCGGGCAGAACGGACGATCGGATTTCTTCGTTCTTACAGCCTTCTCGAAGACTCTCAAGAGGTCTTCTCTCTTCACCGGCGGTACCCGACGACCTCTGGCTGTTTGTCTACCTTCTTCGCCCACCATGAAGCTGAATAGTTCGGTGAAACTGAATAGAGAGCTCTGCGTCATAGGATTCAGCGGCTCCAACATGCTCTGTTGCATGTCGAGGGCGTAGTTCCACAGTTCGATACAGCGACAGAATTTACCCGCGTCAGCGTAAACCGCTCCGCGGTACCTGATGTAGTAGCTCGTGTCCGGATGAGCCGGACCTAATATTCGTTCTCTAATCACCAACGCCTGCATGCGCATCTCATCGGGATCTGCCAGCAGATCGTCTAGATCTTCGGGTGTGGTCACTTCTCGGGCGAAATCATAAGCGGCTACAGGGGGCGGAGATTCGGGTTTCGATATTACCGGGCCATCTCCTCGATACCTGAAAAGAACGCAATGTAGACTTTTTTTCTTTTCACATATTTGTTAATATATTAAATCAGATATTTATTTCACACAATATGAAACGTATATATTCGTATCTTTTTATTTATAAAATATTTTTTTTAATTACATACTCTTAGAATTTTTAAGATAGCAAGTATAAAATTTCTGAAATAGTTGGTGAGATGATTGAGACACCTACCGCTCATCCATGGCTCGTTTCCAGAATTGTAAAGCGCCTATCATGTCCCTTTTTTTGTCCACATACGTAGCCCCGAGCAGCTCCAGCGCGTCGATACGCTCCTTCCTGCTGAACAATTGCGGAACGCCTATGAGGTATTCGACGATATGCGTGTGACCTGGAAGAGAAGAAGCGAAAATAGGAACGTTTAATCAGCGCTCGCTTCTTCTTTCAAGCGTCGCGGAATAGATCGTTTTGGGCTAGCAAAATAATCCGTCTTAGGGGAACCTTCGAGTGGTGCGTGGAACTTTCTGCTTTAACCTGTTACTGCTGCCGCGAGGAGTGGCGTCATCCCGTAGGAGTCGACGTCCATCTGTGCACCGTGCTCGACGAGTACCTTCAGTATCTCTAAGGATCCACTCTCAGCGCAGTCATGTAGAGCCGTATTGCCTTTCACGGACTTGCGGTTCGCGTCTGCTTTCAGGGCGAGTAGGAACTTTGCGATTTTGACGTGACCCCGATAGCACGCGATCATCAAACATGTATGTCCGTGACGATTAGCCATCTCGATATCTTCAATGAAAAATAGAACTCGTTCAGAGCGAAACGCTTTAAATTATTTTGAAACGTAACTATCTTTTATTTTTTTTTCAGAAAAACTATGATCAACTTTTAAAGAACGTTTAAATAAAAACTTAATAAAACTAGATTTACTTTCACTTTTTCTTAAAAAATATAATATTCTCAATGCGCGGAATGTGAAAATGATGAAAAATTTACGTATCCATATTTTGTGTTCCTCTTACCTGCTCCGTGTTGCACTAGAAACTTAACGATATCATAGTGTCCGTCGAAGCATGCGGCCCGCAGAGGCGTGGAGTTTGTTTTCGTGATTGAGTTTACTTTAGCTCCTCGTCGCACCAGGAGTTTTACTAGTGCTAGGTGACCAGCGGCTGCTGCGCACCACAAGGGTGGTGCACCCTCGATTGTCTCGCCCTCGAAAACAACTGCGCCAGAAACGGTCAAATAATATATCTCAGTATCAAAGCGAAAATGCAATTCCGACTTGTAGAACTTGTAAAATAACTCAAACAACGACTCGCAAACGTAATCATCATAAATAAATAAAATAACACGGTTCAACAAGCAGACATAAAGATGATATCGGCGTAACATACAGAGATTATGCAGTGTTTACTGTGAATATTGACGAGTATTTATGTGATAATTATTATGACTAAATGTCTGTTGCACAATTTGCTATCAATGTAATCAAGAAAACATTAACTCTTAAAATCATCTTTTATTTCTCGGGGAAAAAAAAGTGGGTCTTTGCCAAACATCTGTTTCACAATTCGAGTTATTCCCGAGTCGGGCGAATGGCCCGATCAAGGTCGTTAATGAAAGGTTCTCACCTGATCCAGGCTGCTCCACATCCGCCCCACATTTTTCAATCAGGTACTCTGCCACATCATAATGCCCGTTCCGGCATGCCATGACTAAGGGCGTTGCGCCATGGGTTTTGGCTCCGACCAACTGCCCTACCTCATCCTTGCCCCGATGCTCCAAGAACACCTTTCGAGGGAGAAGAAACAAATGCACATCACAACTTTTGACAAATCAAACATTGTAAGATATTCGCAGAAAACAATGAAAAAGTGTACAAGAACGAATTAATTAATTAAGTTATACATATCCGAGGTTAATGAACCTCTCTTTCACGATTATTTAATTTTGCTCTCGATCCGATTTCATAACTCGTCGTCGAACTTAATCGTGCAATGCACCGATAAAATTGTTATTGTTACGACACAAGCTCTCGCATCAACTTACGTTTGACAGTACGGAACCCGTGTTGTAGCGGTTAACCGAACTAACACGGACGCTGACTAATAGCACGCACGTGCGATACGCGCTAGAGAAGGTTTCAAAGTCGACTGGTGTAATGTTCACCGAAGGCCAAGAAGATTCGTCGAATGATAAATATTTAAATTCCAAAATCCCCCTTCTTCTTCGTCCAATGGATTATTTAAAAAAACACTTCAAAAACTTCTCAGTTATGACAATTTGTCTCCATCTTTCACAACTTTGCCATTCAGTGTTTTATGTATTCGGTATCCTCTTTGCTATTTTCTTATAATTATTATGCTCGACTCTTTCTAGCGAATAACCTCGACCTTTGTAACGAATTTAACTTAATACAGAAAACTTCGATGTTGAATACAGCGGGAGAGAGAGAAAGAGAGAGAGAGAGAGAGAGAGAGAAGAGAGAGAGAGAGAGAGAGAGAAGTGTGTGTGTGTGTAATTTAAAGAAAAACAGTCGGATGTCTGTTCAAACGTCTGGAGATAAAATCCTGCAAAGTTGCTCGCGTCCGACGTTCACTGTCGATCTGAACGTCACGTAGATGTTCTGCGGATATGGTTTATTTAAACGTTGGGTGACGAGATCCTTGCGTCACTGACAGGGGAGTCCGACTTACAAACTTGCGAGGAAACCGTGCAATGTACCGCGAGATGACAAAATCTTCAACACATCCTTCACGCGAAAACGAATTTCGTCACGAAACGAATGTGCGAGATTTAAATATAGCTTGCAGCTAGATGCTACATAACAGCAATATTTGCAAAGTATTGACAATTCATGTTTTAGCTATTAATTAAACGCTTGAATGCCGGAGACGGTCGCAAGAATGCGTGAGAAAAGTGCCAAGTAACGCAATCGCGCTTTTCTTGCTTCACGTCGAAAAATGCCAAGCGCTTCCTTCCTTTCTCTCACTATTCCACGCTTTGCTTACAATTAGAGAATATAATGCAGTGATTTCTTCATTTCCCATATAAAAGATTAACTTGGCTTTCAACCAGTCATTCCGGAAAAAATGTATATTTCTATTTATATTTTAATTTTCAATTTCAGTTTATTATTTCTTGCGCGTCATCGGTAAATCTATTGCAATGCTTCTTGGCACTTTTCGACATGAAATGCAGGAAATGCACGATCACATTGCTGAAGCTCAAGTGATTAATAAACGATATTATTGTCACGGGACATGTTAAACACAGCGAATAATTACATTATTATCAAATCAACAGCGAATTGAATATCGTGCTTAAAAAGCAAGCAAAATCACACTGAATTATATCGAGAACGATCGATACAGTCTGCACTTTTTTGAAGAAGATTGCACCGGAAAAAAATCGCGAGTTTCTCTTCGGCGAAATTAAGCGGTACGTCGCGTCTCGTTAGAGTTATCGGGATGGTTGTCTCGACGGTTGTCTCTTCGTCGGAAATCGGAGCAATGCACGCGCACACCCGCTTAGAAGAAGACTGAACGTGAGAGCCGAATCCCTAACCCACTACCTCCTGGAGAAATCATCGCTCTCCAGCCGTCGTGGACGTGCGAGTACCGTTAAACGAATAATCGGAGACATTGGGCCATCGTGACAAGTGAACCGCCGTTTACGATGGGCCACTACTAGGAGAAAGTGGGGAGCGAAGCCGATACTTTTCCGCCTTGGATTCTTTCGTTCCGCTCCTCCTCCTTACATTCTTACTGCCATTAATGAAGAAAGAACCTACTTTTTTGGAAGTGCCCTACTCTGCTGTACTAAAAACGAAACAGGCTTCACAATGAATTCACGAAACATTTTTTATGAAATACATCGCTTAAAAATTCCTATAACACAAAATTCTTTAATATAAAAACTCTTAAAGATGTGATTATATCAATATTATGAAAAGTTATGTAGATACTTTCAAGGTAGGAAGAATAATGTAGAAGAAAAATGTTAATGTGATTTTAAAATGCAGAATATTTAATTAATTTTATAGCTCGTGTTTTCGTCTTAATATAGATAAAGATTAACAAACAAAAAATGGGGCTATTTTTTGTCTTCCATTCTCTCACCAAATTTACGGTACTTGTTTACGGCTGGCGCCGTTATACGTGTAATCAATTTACTTTTTCGTAGGTCCATTTCGACCACCCTACTCTGATTTTTTGTTTCCTCCACTCCCGGTCATGTTTGGTTCCTCGATAGAATGTAGGTAATGAGGACAGTTACATGCCGAAACGAGTTCGTAAAAGACAAAATAAAATATTCATCTTTACACTCGCAAAAAGAAAATGCACGCATTACGAGCATCTCCGCGCTGCAATAATTTTCCACTTTAAGTGACATGCAACAGCTGCGGAAAGCAGTTGATTCCGTCCGTAACAATAACGGACAACCAATGGTAACAGTAAAGGTTGTATCCGACAGAAGAAAGATTGTAAAAGTCAGGACTGTTTCCTTCGAGAATTACGTAAGAATAAAATGAGATCAAAAAAGGGAGCGCGAAAACAATGCTGTCAATTTGACAAAACGGCGAAGAATTACGAGTGGCACAATTGCGTAAAACCATAGCGTCTGATTTTCTTTGATGCCAGATATGATTTTCGCAACTGTATTGATAGTGAAACGTCAGGTCCGGTTTCGACACGAAACGAATAAGATAGCCACGGATATTCAGACCTGAATAACAAATTATTTTCGTCTCGTTCACGGCGCTATTGTCATATTATTCCCAACACTTGTCTCTTGCGAAAAATGGGTCACAGTCTTTCTTTGTTTAATTCAACTGACTGTTAATTAAAGCCGCTTCCACGCTCGTGTGCAAAGGGCATTTTCACGCGCGAGAGTTTTCCTAATTTGCCATACTTTAACCTACATAACGTCGGCGTGGAAAAATCATGGAAAATAACGGAGAAATCGGTAATCCGAAACACGCATCGTTCGTTTGGATTACCAATATATCATTAATCCGCGGTTTATGGTCCGGTCGTAAAAATTGACAACGTCAACTGTAGTAAACCAATACTTAGGTGAGACTGCGGTCAAGTACCGTTCCGCAATAGACGCGCTATACATTTGTTTCGCGGCTGAATAATGCATACGCGCAGTTGTGTTGCGAGAGTGGAAGACACGTCCCACTTTAAATTTTACGTTCGTCACTTCGTACTTTAGTTTGCTTACGCTGCATTGCGCGAAGTAGCACGGCTACTCGTATATACTTAGCGATTCGTTCACGTCAGCATTCATGACTATCTGTTAAATTTGTTAATAGGTCAAGAAGCGCTATCAATCTCGCACGTGAAACTTAGATTTTACGATTTTGAAGGAAATAGCGTCGTATTGATTGAATATGATTAACGATCGATTTTACTGCTTACAAGAAACGGCGTGAATAATAAAGTATGAATGAGTATAATTAATCGCGGTAATGAACCGGTAAATCAGTAAACCGTGATTATCCGTATATTAATTTCGCACGTCGCGGATAATGCACGGCGATATTCATGAGATATATTATTAACTCATTCGATTTCATTTTATTGCATGGATAAATAAAATAATAAGTATATTTATGATTAAATGCTTTGAGCAAGAATGTGCCTAGTTATATGTAACATTAATGTTTCATAATATCTATGCACGCAATAGAGTTAGATAAGCCTTTACGCAATTTGTAATTCTTACATATATTTTATGTAATTAGATATAATCTATTTTGCTCATGCAGCTTGTAAACCGCGTTGCCGCAAAATACATTTTTATACGAGATTGCAGTCGATTTTTTCAACAAAAACAGGGTCACATTCGCTTTTTCGACGAAATAAGCAATTTACGTGAAAACACCGTGAAAATACTGTCACGTTTGACCTCGACCGACTTGCCACACTTGATAATTACGGTATAACAATTGCGCGCGACTATTCCAGAGCAGCAGAACAAAAAGTTTCCGCGACAATTGCGATTACGACAATGTGAGCATGCGAACGTTGCAAATTGCACTCGCCCGGACCTCGGTCGTTGTTTCGTGATGAACGATTATTGCTATAATTGTTACCAGAAGATATGGGATAAATGTACGGATATTTCCGATCGATAACAGTTGTTGTCAACTGCGCACCGCAAAATCGTGGAGCTATTTAGAAAGCGATCCATGTCGACCATTATTCGTTATTACTCGAGAAACCGGAAAATCGGGCAAGTCACACTGCAATTTAACCCTCTTTTTTCTCCGCTTATACATAAACGCTCGATTAATGATCAATCATCGTGATATAATCGCGCGCGCATTGTACTATCAATTTTGTAGAAAATTGTTCTTTCCAAATAAGTTTCGGCTGAGCGATCAATTTTAAATTTAAAACTAATTTGAAAGCATACGTATATAATAAAATTATCTCTCTATAAGGAAGTTGCGTCCTTCATATTTCCTGTTTTATCGTGTTAGAAATATATACATTATGCAAACTTGTACAACATAATAAATTAAAGGAACGAAAGCTGCGCGAATTCAAGGATAAAATGATAATGATCGTTCGAAAAACAATTTATTCTTTCAAATTGGTATTAAAATGCATATATGCGTATGTAAATATAGAAATCTTCTTTTCTTTTTATGCGCGACTCGTCACTCCCGATGAAAATAACGGCAACGTCGGGCGACGCTTTGTTAAGGAGAGATCATTAACCTAAGCGCGATTACTAGAACTCGATATCATCGTGACAATTGAAAACGTAACGAATGC